GGACCGTGCTTATTTTCCCGCGCGGGTCGAGAGGGTGCCCCAAGATGTAAATCAATTGGGATGGCAGAATCTTGGACAATTCCCGGGTCGCTCAGGTAGCTTTCAGGGCACAATTTCGTAACTCCAACAAGGGTCCGGAGGGGTAGGGGAGGTAAGGTCTAGGTCTAGGTCTAAGGGTAAGGACTAGGTCTAAGGCTAAGGACTAAGGCTAAGGCCTAAGGCTAACATCGACAGTCACGCCTCACCCCACGGTGTGGGGTCGGCGGATTTGAATACAAATTTTCTTAACTACTCGCTTCTTGTTACTGCTAGTAAGGCACTTGTTACTACTAGCGAGGCACTTGTTACTAGTAGCTTCTTGTTACTACTAGTAAGGCACTTGTTACTACTAGCGAGGCACTTGTAATTGCTAGCAACAGGAATCTACTAGGACCTAGTGTTCGGCTCAAGAGGTCCAGGTGGGTGGCCGTAGAGGGAGGTAGTTTGGACTATCTATACTCGTACGCTCCTACCCAGGACGCAGGACAGCACACGCTTCTTCGAAGCTGCCCCCGCTGCCCAAAGGCGGTGGGGAGCTTGAAGAAGCGCTCGCACTATTCCTTTGCTTCCTAGATTCTTGGGGAAACTAAACTTGTTAAACCCTTTCAGTATGCTTTAGTCCCACAAAAAGTCCAGTTTCGTTTTCATGTGGAGTAGATGTCCTTTTGGCGCAGGCCTTCCAGATGCGCATCCATGCCGCCCGCCGCCATGCGGGTTCCATGCGAAGGCGAGACCTCGTGAGACCGGGGTGCAACGGACATACCACCTATAGACGGACACAAATACCATGAAAAAACAGTATCACAAAGTTCCAAAAACTTCCACCTCCGACCCCTTCCCAGTGACCCGCCGCCTCGAACCGCGCAGTGCGCCCCCTGCACCCGCCGGTGGCAGCGAAGCCCGCGCCGGTGCGCATGGTGCCACCGGTGCGGCCGGTGGCGGCGGTGCCGCTGGTGCCACTGGAACCGTCGGCGACGGTAACTTGAAATTGGAATTCCATGCGATGGGAATTGCTAACTAGGAACAAGAAGCTACTAGGGGCTCCTGGCATCACTACTAGGAACAAGAAGCTACTAGGAACAAGTGCATCGCTACTAGT